TGACCCGGCGCCGCGGCTCCGGGTTTCCCTTCCCACCCCCGAGGAGCTCGTCTGGCTCCATCTCGTGGGAAGCTGTAGGCAGAGTGACCCTGCAGCGCCCCCGCCTCGTCACGTCCCCTCCCCTCCTCACACTGTGTCCCCCTAAAGCTGTCACCACTCACGTCTTCATGGGCCCCGGGGCACCGCTATGCTAGGAACACAGGGGGGCTGTAGGACAGGAGCAAAGGGTTGTGGCAGGGCTGCGTGGGGAGCCCAGGGCTGGAATAGCAGGGGGTTGCAGGGCAGGAGTGAGGGGCACTGGCAGAGCTGGGTGGAGGGAGCCCTGGGCGAGGGCAGCAGGGTTCATCTGAGCTGGAGACCCTACAATAAAAAAGTTGGCACCGTTAGGGTGAGGGTGAGAGACCCAGTGACGCTAAATTGCGCTTGAGAGACCGACAGTAACAATCTGGCACTGATGAAAGACCCTACAATAACAAACTGCACTGTAGAAACTGGATCAGAACCACTGAGTCTGTGTCTTTTGGTACCAATAACCAAGCTGGGGGTGAGCGGGTGTCTTTGGGCAACAGGAAGGGACGTGAGTAGTTGTGATCCATCCAAGCACCCCCTGTATCGGCCCTGAAACCCCTGTATCCATCCATCCATCCATCCATCCATCCATCCATCCGTCCATCCATCTCCAGACACCCCCTGTATCGGCCCTGAGACCCCTGTACCAATCCATCCGTCCATCCATCCATCTCCAGACACCCCCTGTATCGGCCCTGAAATCCCTGTATCCATCCATCCATCCGTCTGTCCATCCATCTCCAGACACCCCCTGTATCGGCCCTGAAACCCCTGTACCCATCCATCCATCCATCCGTCCGTCCGTCCATCTCCAGACACCCCCTGTATTGGCCCTAAAATCCCCTATATCCATCCATCCATCCCCACACATCTATCCTATCTCTGTTTGTCTGCCTGGCTGCCTACCCCCCCCTCTCCTGCAATGCACCAGCCAGCCTGAGTCATGCTCAGCACTGACCTACATCCAGCTCCTCTCCCCCCTCCCCGCTCCCGCGCAGCCCTCCCCGAGGCTCTGCCTGGGGCAATGGGGCTGAGCTGACCTAGATATGGTGGGAAGTGGAGGGGGGGCAGCAGCCTGGTGGGTGCTGAAGGGGAAGGGAGCCCACATGCTCCCCGGTATTGCCCCCCCGTATCCCTTTCCCAATATTCCCCTCATATCTTCTTCCCAACACCCCCATCTCTGTCGCAGCGCCCCCTAGTGCTGCACTGGGGCAATGGGGCAGAGAGAACCCCTCCCTGCTCTCCTGTGTGCCCTCCAATCTGAGTCCTGCAGCAGGTGCTGGAGTGCTGGGGCCAGGAATTATTTAGTGCTTGTGGCCTCAACGGAGAGAAAACCCCAATGAGTTGGTCTGTCCTGAGGGAGGGCTCACAGCCCAGAGTGGCAGAGGTCAGGGGGTAGTGCTGCACTGGGGCAATGGGGCAGAGAGAACCCCTCCCTGCTCTCCTGTGTGCCCTCCAATCTGAGTCCTGCAGCAGGTGCTGGAGTGCTGGGGCCAGGAATTATTTAGTGCTTGTGGCCTCAACGGAGAGAAAACCCCAATGAGTTGGTCTGTCCTGAGGGAGGGCTCACAGCCCAGAGTGGCAGAGGTCAGGGGGGCTAGGGGCACGGCTGGGGGGAGCTGTGGGTCAGGAGTGAGGGGCACTGGCAGCGCTGGGGGGGCCAGGACTGGGGGGGCAGGAGCTGTGGGGCAGGAGGGAGGAGGACTGGCAGGCCTGGGCTGGGAGGGGCTGTGGGGTGGGAGTGAGGGGGACTGGCAGGA